CTCTCACTCTCTTCTCTCTCTCTCTCTCTCTCTCTCTGTCACTCTCTCTCCTCTCTCTCTCTCTCTCTCTCTCTCTCTCTCTCTCTCTCTCTCTCTCTCTTCTCTCTCTTCTCTCTCTCTCTCTCTCTCTCTCTCTCTCTCTCTCCTCTCTCTCTCTCTCTCTCTCTCTCTCTCTCTCTCTCTCTCTCTCTCTCTCTCTCTCTCTCTCTCTCTCTCTCTCTTTCTCTCTCTCTCTCTCTCTCTCTTCTCTCTCTCTCTCTCTCTCTCCCTCCCTCCTCTCTCTCCCTCTCCTCTCATCCTCTCTCCTCTCTCTCTCTCTATCTATCTATCTATCTCTTCTATCTATCTTCTATTCTCTTCTCTCTCTCTCTCTCCTCTCTCTCTCTCTCTCTCCTCCCTCCCTCCCTCCTCCTCTCTCTCTCCTCTCTCTCTCTCTCTCTCTCTCTCTCTCTCTCTCTCTCTCTCTCTCTCTCTCTCTCTCTCTCCTCTCTCGCCTCTCCTCCCTCTCCTCTCTCCCCTCTCTCTCTCCTCCTCCCTCTCTCCCTCTCTCTCTCCCTCTAAGCCTCCCTCCCAATCTACTCCCCTCCTTCCCTCGAGACAGGAGCCCCCCCCCCCCCAGCCCTAAATAACGCGACGCCTCACTCACTTGCAGCTTTCGACGCGGACAGACTGGGGGTATTTGTCCGTGTTAATTACAGCCACCCACTCCCCCCGGATGTTCTGCGCCCAGCCCGGCCTCACGTACTGCACGGCGCTCTCGCAGACGAAGTGCCCGCCGTGCCTGGGGGTCAGGGAGAGAAAGGGCGGTGAGAGAGGTCAAGGAAACGTGGGGAGGGAGGGGAGGATAGTGAGGGTACGGGAGAGAAGGGGGTTAAGAGGGGTCAAGGAAAACTGGAGGGGGGGCGAGGATGAGTAGGGGTCAAGGAAACGGAGAGGAGGTGAATGAGGCCAAAAGAACGGAGTGGGGGTTGAGAGAGGTCAAAGGAGCGGAGAGGAGTTGAATGAGGTCAAAGGAGTGTGGGTTGAGAGAGGTCAAAGGAGCGGAGAGAAGGTGAATGAGGTCAAAGGAACGGAGTAGGGGCTGAGAGGTCAAGGAACGAGGGGGTTGGAAAGAGAGGTCAAAAGGAACGGAGAGAGTGAATGAGGTCAAAGGAACGGAGTGGGGTTGAGAGAGGTCAAAGGAAGCGGAGTGAAGGTGAATGAGGTCAAAGGAACTGGTGGGGGAGAGAATGAGCGAGGTCATTCAGTCGTTCAGGAAGGAATTAACACGTTCTTTGTCTTGGCGATGTTTATCTTCAAGGAAATCATCTTCAGGGATTAATATCTGCTAGAAAGAGTTTTCTGTTTTAGAAAAAAAAGGACAAAACATGTAAGATCCGACTGGAGTAATTATCAGGGAGATAGAGAGAAATAATTAAGCGCATCCGGATACGTCGACAGCTATTCTTCTAGAACTGTCTCGGATCAATATTCCTCTTCTCGTTTTATTATTTTATTTTTTTATATACAACCTCCTCTCCTTCTCCTCTTCCCTCCCCTCTTTGGCTTCCCTCCTACACCCGTTTTTTAGCCTCCCCTTCCCACCTCCCTCTTCTTTCCCTTCTCTTCCCCTCTCTTCCCCTCCCTCTTCTTCCTTCTCTTCCCCTCCCTCTCTTCCCTTCTTCTTCTCTCCTTCTCTTCCCCTTCCTCTTCTTCCCTTCTCTTCCCTCCCTCTTCTTCCCTTCTTTTCCCCTCCTCTTCTTCCCTTCTCTTCCCCTCCCCTCTTCTTCCCTTCTCTTCCCTCCCCTCTCTCCCTTCTCTTTCCCTCTTCTTCCTTCTCTTCCCTCCCCTCTTCTTCCTTCTCTTCCCCTCCCCTCGTCTTCCCTTCTCTTTCCCCTCTTCTCCTTCTCTTCCCTCTCCCTCTTCTTCCCTTCTCTTCCCCTCCCCTCCTTCCTTCTCTTCTCCCCTTCTCCCTTCTTTTCCCCTCCCCTCTTCTTCCCTTCTCTTCCCCTCCCCTCTTCTTCCCTTCTCTTCCCCTCCCCTCTTCTTCCTTCTCTTCCCTCCCCTCTTCTTCCCTTCTTCCGTTCCCTCTTTCGTCCCCCTCTTCCCCCTCCCCATTACATTTTTTCTACTACCCTTCCCTTCTCCCCTCTCTCCTTTTCTCCTCATCCCCTCTTCCTCCTACACTTTCTCCTCTCTTCCCCTCTCCTGCTTCCCCTTCTCTCCCCTTCCCTCTTCCCTCTTTTCCCTTCTCCCTTCCTCTCCCTTCTCCCATCTCTCCCCTTTCCCTCTTCCACCTCCTTATCCCCCTCTTCCTCCTATCCTTCTCCTCTCTTCTCCATCTCCTTTTCCTGTTACCTTCCCCTCTCCCCCACTCCCCTCTTCCCTCTCCCTAACCCATCTCCTCCTCCCCCTCCCCCTCCCTCTCCTCTTCCTCCTCCTCCCCTCCTCCTTCTCCCCTCTTCCCTCTCCCTCCCCCTCTCCCCTCCCTCCCTCCTCCTCTCCCTCTCCCCCTTCCTTTTCCCCTCCCCCCTCTCCCTCTCCTCCTTCTCCCCCTCTTCCCCCTTCCCCCCCCTCCCCCTCTCCCTCTCCCCTCTCCTCTCCTCCCCCCCCCCAGCCACGACGTTGATTTAATGTCCCCGTCGGAGCTGATGGGGGCAATAAAGTGTTACACGAGTCGTAGATAGAAATCTCTATTTCTCTGCCATTTAGAATAGTTTATTCGGCGATTCGTTTCTGCCGGTCAAATAAACCCCAAGGAGTTGCTTCTGACGTTGATACACGCAAGATCTCTCTGAGCTTCTAGAAATCGGGAAAGGAATTGCAGCTTTCGGGATGGTTCCATGAGCTGGTAGTAGTAGTAGTAGTAGTAGTAGTAGTAGTAGTAGTAGTAGTAGTAGTAGTTAGTAGTAGTAGTAGTAGTAGTAGTAGTAGTAGTAGTAGTAGTAGTAGTAGTAGTAGTAGTAGTAGTAGTAGTAGTAGTAGTAGTAGTAGTAGTAGTAGTAGTAGTAGTGGTGGTAGTAGTAGTAGAAGAAGAAGTAGTAGGAAGAGAAGGAGGACCAAGGGTAATAGTAGTAGGAGGAGTAGTAGTAAGAGGATGAGGAAGGGGAGGAATAAAAGAAATAGTAGTAATAAGGGAGGAGTAGCAGTAGGAGGAGGAGGAGAGGAAGTAAAATTAATAATAGTAGTAGTAGTTGGAGTAGTAATAATAGGAGGAGGAGGAGGAGGAGTAAGAGTAATAGTAGTAGTAGCAGCAGCAAGTAGAGGGAGTAATACTTGCAGTAGTGGTATGAGGAGATGGAGTAAGAGTAATAGTAGTAGTTGTAGTCGTAGTAGCAGGAGTAGTAGTGACAGTGGTAGTAGTAGTAATAGGAAAAGTAGTGTTAGTAGTTGTAGTAGTTTTAGGAGTAATAGCAACAGTTGTAGTAGGAGAAGTAGTGCAGCAGTGGTAATCGTAGTAGTAATACTGGTAGAAGTAGTAGTGGTAGTAGGAGTAGAAGTAGTAACAGTACTAATATTAGTAGTAGGTGCGCTGATGGTAAGAGCAGCAGTAGTGTCATTAACTTCATCATTATCAACTGTTATTTTCAGTATTTCCATTATCATTATCATTTGTATATTTGCATTCTTATTTTTATTGGCTCTGAAATAGGTGTCATCATAACCTTTACAAGTTATTATGGTCATTTGTTGTTGGGTTGCTGTTTATATGATGACAGCATCCTTATCCTTATCGTTCTTAATATCTATTATTATAATCATTGTTATCATTATCATTGTTATAATTTTTATCATCATTATCATTATCGCTATCATCATCATCACTATTATATTACGATCAGCCTTACTATAAATATGATTATCATTACTGTCACCATTACTACCTAGCAACTGAGGACCACCTATGGCAATAATCCTCCCCCCCTCCCTCCCCCCCTCCCCCCTTCCTCACCCTTACCCCTTTCAGCGAACGAAAGACCAAGAACATCGACCAAGAGCACATATTATGCCTGCAATGCTTAACAATATATACTGCACGCCACATGCCTCATTATACTTGTAGATGATGACTGCGCACCTAGCATAAGAAAGTGGAATGGGCATCGATCACCTTTCGGACAGGGTAAAGGCTCCTCGTTAAAGTTTAATAGGTTGTCTCGCCTAATTGCACTTACAAAATATCTTTACGTACTGTGATTACTCCAGAGCGCTCTTAACGAGGTTAATTGGCGGTTCATCTTGTAAGAAATAGTTGGTTATTGAATATCTTCCAAAATCTTAAATTAAAAAATTAAAAAATTTTTTGGGGGATGGGATTTTGTTGAAAAGAAAATGTACAAATAACAAATACAAAGTCCTTTGTCTTAAAAAATGGAAAACTAAAAGATAAATAGGTAAAGAATTGACTAACTGGTTCGGTGACAAGTTCGATATTTAGAGGAAAAAAGACACACAATATTCACAATATGAATGAACTCAGACGGTGAGCAAAAAGTGTTGTTTTCTGTACCATTATTTTCTGTTATCATTCTGCATTGGCGCTAATTAATTATTATCATTTTGTACCATCTATTATCCATTATCATTTTGTAGTGTTGCCTATTATTCATTCTCATTCTCTATCATTATTTTAGTTCTATTAGTTTTCCTTATTATAATGAACAGGTACGTTAACATTAATATAATTAAAAAGGTACGTTAATTATATGAGAAAGTAAACTATAGCTCACACTTCGTCATAATGGTCTTTATTCAGAATCCCGTACCTAATTCCAGGTTATCTAAAAGATATTTCACATCTATTGTTTAAACTCCGCCCAATAGACTCTATTTGAAGCGACTGCGAGATATAAAACAAGAAGATGTATCAAAACAAAGAAAGATTTTTAAAATAAAATGAAAAGTTAAGCTCGAAATAGTGTAAGTATTAAGCATGTAAGATAAAAATCATGTAGAATGTGATATGTAAGACGAAGAACAAAAAGGAAAGATAAAAAAGTCACCTTCCGCTATTCATAGGC